ATTCTTCTCTCTCTCTCTCTCTCTCTCTCTCTCTTTCGAAGAAGCGTCGATATTTGAAAGGAAGTTGGATGCGATAGCGCGATACGAGTCGTACAACGGTGATTCGGTTTCACAATCGTGTGTGTAGCGTTAGGAGGGGGTTGGAGAGAGAAAAAGCCACGCGATCCGCTGGTCGGGTGAGAAACGACGAGGGGAGGAGAGAGAGAGAGAGAGAGAGAAAGAAGAGCGAAAGAGGGTGCACGTGGAATTGCGGTGAACCTCTGCGTGTGCAGCCACCGTGTTCCGCGTGGCACCGCTTTTTTTTTAACGCGACATCGTGTCCCCTCTTTAACGAACGTTTCATCGAAACGTCTCTCGCGTGATTTCCAAGACGCCTTCCCCTCCGTCCAATCTCCTCCTTCTCGCTTCTCAACGTTCGATCTAAACGAATTAAACTTTTTCCATTTCCAATTTTTTTCGAATGATCGTATCATTCGTCGAGAAAAGTTTCGAAGAAGGATCTCGTGGTCGCGCCCTCTGACAGGCTTTTTGACGTAAGCGACCATCCCTGCGGGTCGGTCGCGTTGGCTGGCCACCGTCACCGTCCACGACGCCCTCGATACATTACCGACGGTTAATTCGATTACCGCCAAGTTTCACAGGTCGGCCAGCCACGTTCCCCCTCGAAAACTTTCGTTTCAATCCGATCGAAGGAAAGAAAGAAAGAAAGAAAGAAAGAAAGAAAGAGAAGGAAAAGAAGAGAGAGAGAGAGAGAGAGAGAAAAATATGAAAATAATTATTTTTCCAGGAAAGAGCTTCACGTTGACGATTACCGTGTCCACGACCCCGCCGCAAGTCGCCACGTACACCAAGGCCATTAAAGTAACCGTGGACGGGCCGCGAGAACCGCGATCCAAGACCAGTGAGTATCACTGTAAGCATTGCTGAAATTATTTATTATTTAAATTACATCTTAAACGTCTAATTATAATTTTATAAAAATTCCGTTGTAGCCGGGCACGATTTTCTTTCATACACAGACCTTTGAAGAATTAAAAAATACGAGAATCGTTCGTAAAGTGAACGTGTCTTTCTTTATTCCCTCGATTTATATCGAATACTCGGGAGAAAATTTCATGAGAATTTCTACTAAATAAATAACCGTCGCTCTTAGCCCAGAATCCAACATGTTCGAAGAACGAATCCTCCAATTTTTCCACCTTCGAAGATTCTTTCGCTTCAAAAGAAAAAAACCCGAACAACACGATTCAGAGACAAAATTTCTCTTTCTGAACGATCCTCGTATCTCTCGATAACAACTTCCGGAATAACTCGCTTGTTCAAGGATTCGAAATGTTGGGAAAAAAAAGGGAGAGAAGGGAGGAGGAGCAAATCGGGGGAGGCGTCGTCGGCCGCAAGTCGGGGAATGGCCCCGGGGCGGGTTAAGTTCGCGCAATTGCCATTATTTATAACCACGGCCGGCCGCCATAACATTGATAAAGGGTTGCGGTGTTTAGCCGCGGAGATATTGTGCGACGCCTCCCAAGTTTCCCGCCTCAGACACACACACACACACGCGCGGAGAGAGAGGAGCACGCCACCTTCCAGACGCACAATTACCCTCGTAGCCGTCGGTTATCTCGCGGCGACGCGTGTCAACGGGTTCCTCGCGCAACGTCTCCGACCCGAACGAAGCCGGGTATTACGTCGGAGAATCGAAATTTACCGCTCTCCTCCCTCTTCCTCCCATCCTGTTTGTTAATCCACGCCCAGACGAGGGATCGGGCGAGCCATCGGGATTGAAATCGGGGGAGGAAAGTTATCGCGTTTTACGATACGAATACGGACGCTCTCCCCGTTTCTTTCGTCGATGGAAAGGATAGGCGTAAAACTTCAAAGTAACGCTAAATTAGGATTCATCTCCGGCGGTAGAAAAATACGCTTGGAGGCTCGAGTGAAAATGTGTGTAATGTGCTTATCGTAAGATTCGTTGGATCGATTTTATTTGGAGACGTTTGGAAGCGGGGGGAAGGGAGCGGGCGGCGCGTTACATCTGGCGTTACCGAAGGAGAAATATTTTCGCCGGAATAAGGGAGGGGATCTTAGGGCAGGGGCGCGGCACGAGATAAAAGGATTACGCGTTGCGGGTGGCCGATCGGCGGCGTTTCTTTAAACGAGCAAGAAGCAACGCTTTGACACGCTCCCTAATTTTATTATCGTACGTATCCTGGACCGGAACCGACACCGTGAAACGAGTTCCGGAGACGCCGTAACTCCGCCTACTGTTTCTACTTTCGTTTCACGAATTAAATTCAATCGAGTGGCGGACGGCTAATTAATTGATCGCCGATTCCACCGCGGGATCTCCCCGCCGTGAATCCAATCGAATTCTTATTGGGAAAGGATCGACAACGTCTTCTTTTAGTGGACGATCAAATTATTTTGGAGGAAGAGAGAGAGAGAGAGAATGAGAGAGATCGAAGATAGATACTTGCGATCGAATCGAATTCTTTTTTAACGTGTCACCACGTCAGTGAATAAAAATAAAAATGGAACGAAAGAAGAAACGAGCAAGCAAGAAATTATCAGATTCTTCAGGAGAAAGAATATATATAAAAATTTAATTCTCTACTCGACGATCATTGTTAGTATTGTTAGAAGAATCATAGAGATCCTAAGAGAAGAAAGAAGGATTCTCTCTTCGATTGTGAACAAACTCGTGAATCATTGGAGGAACTCTTGTTCTTCTTTCGAAGAATTCGAAGAAGCACGATCAAACGAAATTCTTTTCCATCGAGGAAATCGTGAACGGGTCCTCGTACCCGTGGAGGGGACCCACGTAGGAGATGAGATCCCTCCGCTCGAAACTTTGTTTATAAACAAAGCGTTTCGGGCCGTGAATCATTGGACCCTTCTTTCACTCACGGGTCAGCGATAAATCAGCCCTATGAATTCTATTCGAGTGAGGCGGGCGGGGTCCTAGGAGGCGGGGGTACGGGGACCGATGGCGGAACGAGCGCGCCTCGTTCGAACTGTGGAGGCGCCTCCGTTTCGAGGGTCGTAATTAATTAAACAAGCAATTCATTACACATTCTACCCTCGTCCCATAGCCAAAGGTGGCCGCCGCAGAAAGAGGATGCAGGGCTAAGGGAATTGATCGAGAGTGTGAGAGGGGCGGGGAGGGGAGGGGGGGGTCGGTGGCGCGAAGGATGCCTCCGGCGGAAGTTGGAAACCCCGAATCCCCGAGTCGAGTCGCACGCACGCACGCATACACACATACACACACCTTTCCACCACGATCCACGCTTTTGTTAGAAAATAGCGATGCCCTCCTCCCCCTCCGGTTTCGTCTACGACGCGTCGAGAGGGTCGGATCGGGGGGGAGGGTGAGGGAGGGGGGGCAGAAGGAGGACCAGGGGAGGGGAGGTGTGCGGAAACGGGAACAACGAAATGAGGAGCTGTCGCGGGCAGCTGCTAACTCTCGAGAAATTCCCTGGCAGTCATCGGTCTGCACGCGCGAAAGGGTGTCCAATGAAATCGATAGCCGACGACAACGACGACGACGACAGTCTGAAGACGCGGTGTCCACTTGCGAGGCCCACCCACCCCCTTCCCCCCGAAAAATTGGTTGCGGCGCGACGAATTGCACGAGTCTCGTCCGCGTGTTCGATCTGTTGGATCTGTGTTCGATGTGTTCGAAAATATATGAAAACGAGTTTTTCATTTTCGCCGCTCGATAGGCGTAATCGGGTTGAAAATTTTTTGGGAACGGAAGAACGAGTGAAAAGCAGGGAAAGGAATGAAGGAATTTCTTCTTCTGGTGATCGAGGTGACCGTGGAAATACACGCCCGTTTAACGATAGATCTCGTTAGCTTCTCTGTTCGTGGCGTCGCGGCCTCATTGTGTCCCCGTACGGGATCGAGCACCGTACCCTATTCAGCAAACCGGCGGGAATTTCGGGTTAGAATTAGGGCTTCGATTGGATTATCAGGACGACGGATTGGGGGGAGAAGGGAGTCTCTGCCTCTGTGCGCGTCTCTTCGCTCCCTTCCTTCCCTTCGGTTCGGTCTCCAGTGTGCCTTCCCCCCTTCGGTTGGTGTTGGCGCGGTGTGTCGCTTCGTAGATTTCGACGGTTCACGTAGGAAAGCCGGGTCCACGTGTGTGGGCAGACCGCTGCTGGCCTAACCTAACCTAACCTAACCTAACCTGACCTGACCAGCAGCGGCAGTCTGGTCGGATAGGACCACGCACAGGCGGCCGCCTGTTGGGACGTCTTTAATTGGGTTGGCGACACCGTACCCGGGAATAAAATGAATCGCTGCCTCGACGCGTCTCTTCTTCCTCCTCCTCCTCCTCCTCCTCCTCCTCCTCCTCCTCCCCCGTTTCGGTTTCGGCCCTCGTTCGAAACTGCTGCTCGCGCAAGATGATCGGGGGACGAGAGAGAGAGAGAGAGAG